CCCGGACACTGGGGTGGGCGGGCCAGGCCTCCTGCGCCCCAGTGCCAGCCTCCTGCGTGGAGGGGGCGGGCTCGGACCCCCGCGGCTGGGCTCCGGGTGGCAGCCCTAGGGGACAGTGGGCTGAGGAAGGGAGAGCCTGTGAGGCTTGGTGGCCCTGGCGGGCTGGAGGGCTAAACCCTGGCAGACCCAGCCCCACCCATAGGTGCCCCCGTCCACAGGGGGCCCCGGGAGCTTACCTTGCCAGCGACAGTATTGCTGAGGACGGGGTCCTCATTCGTGGCCCCCTTCAAGCCGAACGGTCTCCGGGGCAGCAGTGTCCGGAGAGATGAGCAGTGGCCTGAGGTCACGTCTGAACTGTTGTGACTTTCACGATTCCTGGTGCTCGTGGGCCTTGACGCTGGGGGTGGCCCGGCCTCAGCAGCCCCCAAGCCCAGGGACAGCCCTACCCTTGACTGGGTACCCGAGGGCCGGGCATGTTGCTCACGCGCGACCCTCACGGCCCTTGAGGTGTCGGCCTGAGGCTCAGGTGTGTCGGTGTGCCAGCCGTCGGGGAGGGAGGCCGCGGCGGTTCCAGCTTCTAGGGCTCAGTGGCTCTGCCTTCGCTCCTTCCCCAGCCTGGGGGGCCCTGGGCCCCGCCTGTGTACGCTCCCTCAAAGAGGCGCCTCTCCCCTCCCCAGGCGTGACGGCACTCGGCCCTCCCCTGGTACTCAGCAGTCACGGCCACGCAGGTCCTGTCAGACCCACGAGTGTGTGCTTCCTGCTGCTGCCTTTGCTGCGCCTCAGTTTCCCCCGAGGATGGGGAGAGCGGATCCCCTGCCCACGGGGCATTTCCGGGCCGCCCTGCTGGGCCTTTCGCTTCCTCCCGGAGCTGCCGGGGCGGGCCTGTGGGCGCCAGCATCCCCGCCCTGGTGAGACGCCGACACCTGTCTCCTCCCTTGTGGCTCACCCACAGGTGGTCCAGCTGCTGACCTGTGACTTGCTGCTGTCACTGCGGACAACACTCTGGCAGAAGCAGGCCGGAGCCAGCCAGGCCCTGGGCGAGACCTACCACGCTTCAGGCGCCGAGCTGGCGGGCTTCCAGCGGGACCTGGGCAGCCTGCGGCGGCTGGCTCACAGCTTCCGCCCGGCTTACCGCAAGGTGAGGTCAGGGAGTGCAGAGCCAGGGCCCCAGAGTCCAGCATGGCACCAGCTTGGGGTCGTGGAGCGTGCCAGCCCCGAGGGGGCGAGCAGGCCACGAGGCCCCCATGCAGTGGCAGACCCTGGGCTGAGACGGGCAGAGGCCATGGGGCGGGCCGGGCCGTGCGGAGCAGGGCAGGGCCAGCACCCTGGGTCGTGCCGACGGGACACAGGTCCGCGGGGAGTCCGTGTTCTGCGCCACTGGGGGTAGAGTCCCCGTGGCGCCCTCGGCGGAGGCCCCGGTCAGGGCTGGCGCGGAACCGAACCTGCTGCCCTTGAATCCCTTTGTTTGATTTTAATTGGTCATTAGTCCAGTTACTCAACACACCTTTGCCCAAATTCTTTCCTAAAGTTGCAAGTGAGCCCAGAAGCGTTGGTTAGGAGGGAGGACAATGCCCGGCGTGCCGCCGAGTGCGGCCAGAGCCCGCAGCCGGGCCCCGGGGAGCAGTGGGCAAGAGGAACCACCGGAGGGAGCCCCTGCAGAGAGGGGTGCCTGGGAGGGGCCTCCCTTCTGCCCAGGGACGGAAGCCTCAGAGGCCTCCATCCCGCCGCTGCCCCCGACGGCCCTCCCGCACCTAGAGCTCAGGCTTTATGGACGCCTTCAGGGAGAGGAGGAACCGGGGCCCTGAGCCTCACTTGTGTCCCAGCTGGAGGCAGGGACTTGAGGCACGCCCTGGCCACAGCCTCTGTCCACCTCCATCCGCGCTGGGCTGGGTCCTCCTGTCGCTCGGCCGGGCTCCAGCTTGCCGCGGGCTGCTCTGAGGGGTGGGCGGGGCGGAGGTGTCGCGGAGGACCCAGCTTGATGGGGGCCCCTGCGCCTGGCAGGTGTTCCTGCATGAAGCCACCGTGCGCCTGATGGCAGGCGCCAGCCCCACCCGCACCCACCAGCTGCTGGAGCACAGCCTGCGGCGGCGCACGGCGCAGGGCGCCAAGCACGGTGAGCGCGGAGCCCG